CCTTCAATGCGAAAAACATACTTCTTTCGAATGAAATAATTAATACACGTCTCCTTTGAGTTTTGAAATTGCTCGCTACACAAATTATGTAATATGTACGAAGTTCTACAAATACAAAATGTACAGAAATCCTGCTTGGTGAAATTATAATTGCATATGTGTCAATGTGTCTGCTTTTTAGCCAACACAATGAGATCAATGAGCGCAAACGACCGTCGGCCCTCATCACATGACATCAGAGTCGCTGCCACCGCTGTCATGGCGACGGTGATTTGCTTGATAGTTCTGCCTGATGTCGTGACGTGTATCGTGGCGATATGGAAATACATCAGACCCGGACAAGCCGCCGAAAACAGCATTCAAGTTATATGATCTTTTTTCTTATCGTTAAAGTAAACCTGTACCTGTAGACGCTTGTGTTTGAGCCGTCTGTTCTCCCCAAAAGAGTTGAGACTTGTACGTTATGATAGTTGATATACATTTTCGATCTTGTTTATTTTCTCTAGGAATATTGTGTAAATAATTGTTATTCTCGCATCTTGGAAGTCGGACCGAAATTGATATCATTCCTAAACTGGTTATCAGGCGGGAAAATGACATCGACTTTTACGTCACACTTTCACCGAATGATATCAAGGGAGTAGTCTACGTAGCATTAACATGGAGAGCTCGAGCAGAGACATACCAACGCGGGTTGTGGTTTTTTCAAGAACGTTATAGGATCTACAAGAACAATAATTATAATGACATTTTTTAGAACTTTCCAAATGCTGCATACAATCACTGTCAGTCTATTGTTCAGGACTTAAATATAACCGCTTTATCATTGCTTAAATCAACTCAGATACGAAGCGGGTGTTAAACATTGATATTGACATTCACAGGGAATGGGTGAGATATTCTCACAAACCCCTGAAAACTCGTTTGCAGTTTTTTTGTGTTATAGTTTGTAAGATGGTGTTTTTTTTTTATATGTGATAAATTTAATAAAACAGACATCAAACTATATGAATCTTTTCACAGACTTCCAACTAAATGTGCGCAACATTAGATCAAATCAATGCATGTCGCGCTTTAAAAAAGAAGCGAAAGTTCTTGTTGTGGAATAAAGTGTCAAAGTATACACCCTATCTTTAAAAGGATAAAACGTTAATTAGTTTGATACAATCTGATCCAGTTTAAGACTTTATAAATATTATTTCAATTGTATTATCATTTATTTTTATCTAGTTCTGTAGCAATGTAAATTTGCGAACTACACTCTACACAATAGTTGTTTCGTCCGAAATTGGTCTAAATGAAACAGAAAGGAGGCATACAATGCTTTATCTTTATGAATTTCGAATAACTGAAGAGAAAGCATTAAAATGCAATAGGAATAAACATAAGGAGCAAGAAGGTTTCAGATAATCAGAATAATGTCGATAATGCGGTCGATATGCACTTGTAAAAATTGCAACGTTTTATATTACATGTAATACAAATCTGCTTTTTGGTGAGATATATAGGATCTAACATGAGTGTAAGATCCTTTTGATCACATAATCAAGTTTTGTGGCATTTATTCTTGTAAAACGACAATTTTCATGCAACCTATTGAACTATAAAGGTATTTTTCTAACCTCTAATTCTAGCTACTGTATTTATTGCAAATCTAAGATATTTGTTTATGAGAAGTTCTATCTACTCAACCAATAAGATTTTCTATGTGACGTTTCGATGACTAGTACGATATGTACACTGTCACCTTCATCAGACAAATGAGCAGTGAAGCATATGCACACAAAAAGTGTTAACTGTGTACGAGTTGTCCACAAAATCGATTTTATTCGGCTACGCTGTAAGCGTATGTGCAATAGTTGTTACATATGTACCGGAATGACTCGATTTGGCTAAGCTTTGTTTAATACAACCGAGGCTTTGGATAAACTACTGGCGAATCTCAGGACGAACACCTTTATCAATAAAAAGAAAACCACAGGTATCGACATGGAAGAGTTTTGTAATTTTAAAAAACTCAATGTACAAAGTGCTGTAATAGAATCAAACCGTAATAAGATATAATTACTGCCACGATTAAAACTAATTAATGAATTGATATGTTCTCTATTTATGTACACATACCTGGGAACATAATTTTATAGTTTGGTTAAAAATATGAAGTAATTTTAGTGGATAGAAAAGAATCAAACATTGAAGAGGTAAAAAAACCGAACGTCACTATCTCAATCTTGCTTCTTCGTTTTTCTGACACCTGTCGCTTTGTTTCTATTCCAGCACAAAAGAGGAGGTTAGTGAGTGCTGATGATCCCAGGCCCTCCACACGTAACATCGGAGTTACGGCAACTATTGTCATTGCGTCAGTGTTCGTTTTGATTATCCGACCTGATGTCATTAACTTGCAATATGGAAACGAGTTAGACATGGAACCACTCCCAGAAACAAGGTCCTCTTTGCGTAACCCTATTTTGTCGAGTGAAAGTTTGTTTTGCTTTTAAGTTTATTTTTGTTTTTTGATAAATGAATTTGTTATAAATGTTGGTAATAGGCAATTTAAATATTTTATCGTTCAACACATTTGAGTCAATTCAATGATACATAAAAATACCAAATGAAGATATTGTATTGCTTGTCATAGTAACAATACTGTCACGTTGTCCATTGCGGGTAATTTGTTATACGTAATGTATTTTGAAACAGTCATGGAACTAATTTTATCAACACAAATAACAAAGCAATCATAACACATCTATTCGGAATCTCGACACTTCTTAAACCCATTCTTAGTGCTTAACTTTAAGCATATACTTAAAAAAGTGTATCTCAAAGGTTCTTAAGTATGCATTCTCAAATTTTAAGTTGAGAACGGGCTCAATATTTGACAATGGTAAGGAGCATGCTTAAATATTTAAGAACGTGCTTAAATATTTAAGAACGTTCTTAAATACACAAAATGGCCAACTGTAATTGTCTGATCAGTCATGAAATTCAGCCGCTAAAAACGAGTAAGGAGATAAAAGGCACAGTGTTTATAGTTATTTTTCATTTATTTATTTATTTATTTATTTATTCATAATTAGCCATCACTTTGGATATAATTAGAAAACCAGCATTTGGGGCCATTCAATACAGTCTTCTATCACAGGATGTCCATAAAATCAGACATTGGCAAATAACTAATATGGCTTATTTGGTTATGGGGAAAAGGAAAATTTTACCAGAGGATTTGGGGCAGGTTCTGACTCCACCTGAGCGTAAAATTTTCATATCGCGAATACATGCATAATGATAGGCACCTTTCCTCAAATATTTCCTATACAGAATTTCGGTAAAGGAAATGTAAATGCAACAATTAATGTCATAGCGTTTCTTATTACATTAACAATCTCGTTACAACCTGTTAATCTCGTTCCACGCATTTAAAACTAGGTCATTGCTTTGTTAATAAGAGAGGTATTATATATAATGTAGTTATTGTTTTTAATTGTTTGATTACCGAACTGACTGATTAAGCAGTTAATTGGTCAGAAGATTTTCGAGTAACCGGTTAGTAAATTCGTCTGGTTTGACAACCCTAATTTTAACATTATAGGGAACACGTTAAAATGAGTTTTTTTTCCATCAAATTTAACCCAATAGGCTTCTGTACCAGACATTTTCATTTAAAGTGTGGAACCTTTTTTAACCCCTCCCGCGGGGAGTGGTGGTGGTGTATGGGGTAAGGGGGTGTTTTGTTCCGTGCGTACATATTTATCCCCTTTTTTCATCGCTCTATTGAATTCATATCTGAACATATTAACTGTACCATTTTATAAAAAAGTTTCCAGTCATGGTTCTAATGAATCGTCATAAATAAATAAATAAATATAATCAGTTTAGGATAATTATTCAATATTTTCTTTTAATATCTAGCATTCAATAATATGTCTGTCATAACAACAAAAATGGTGTCATCTAATTTTTAATATCCAATTTAGCTTGAAAACTTAAATATGGTTTTCAATGCACTGCAAAAGAAGTGCGGGATTATCTATCCTAGTTAATTCGCGAAGTATTTCATACAATGATATTATTTTTTTTCATTACAGAGTTCCAAATAGGGCCCCTTATGTATCAAAAAACACATTCTTAGTTCAGTACGTTCTCAACTGTTTAAGAACGCCTTCGAGATACACCAATTTGAGAAATTCTCAGCTAAGTACGTACTGAGCTTAAGAATGGAAAGTTAAGAATTGATAATTAAGAAGTTTCGAGATTCCGGGGCCAGGTCTTCATGAGAGAGGAAACCGGAATACCCGGAGAAAACAAATGCAGATGGACAGATGACTCCATGTCTTTTTACGTCTCCTGTTTACGTCTGACCGGAGAATTACACATCAGCTGTCTGTGTGAGCACAAGAGCGCTATCTACGACTCAAACCGACCGTTCGAAATAATCAAGGGAAAATGGTCACATTGTTGGACAATTACATATATTGTTTTTGTAAAAGATCATCTCTGGTGTTATTTATGTCTTTTTGAGCTCGTAGACTTAAGACGGTTTAAAAAACAAATCAATCCATAAAATGCATCTCACAGTCACATATGCGTGTTGTGCTAATTTCGGTAAACACTACAGACAGGGAAAGACCATCAACGGATCGATAGTAAGTTGCAATTTGTATCATGTATAATGTAAAAAGACATCACATCACATAATTATAATAATAGAATGAATACCAAACAAGATATATCAAAATGCAGTGTATCGGTCTTTTGATTACAATGTAAATACACATAGGATTTCTAAGCAGCATTAAATGCAATCGAATCACTATCCAGCTGCTAGTATTTTGGAGGCACAGTTGCCTGTTTCTATTAAGAAATTGAGCACTTCTTAATCCATTTACGATAGTGAAAAATATCGCAGTTGGAGCAACAAATTTCAAATGTCATACAAATGGTGGATTCAAGAAATGCCGTAACACAATTCTGTTAAGTTAAAACATTTTAATTACCAAATCATTACAAATTGTCAAAGAATTTTTCCCATAGTTTTATATCATTGAATTCTTTAAAATAACAGAATAATTTTACAACCAAGATTTTAGGTAGTGTTTGATGACGAAACAAGGTCCGCAGGTAGTGGGAGTTTTTACTTTCAGTAATTGAATTATGTAGTGGTATTACGAGACCATTGTATATGTGACCATCAACATGAGCTATTTCTCGAGACTACATTGAAACACATGAACCAAGAAGACAATGATAGAAATGAATCAGTTTTTCAAATAAAGGACATACTGATAAATTGTTCTCAATTAACACAACCAACGCATCGTGTGCACCTATATTAAGACCGATTCCAATAAATCGTCATTTCCGGTCACATGAGCGTTACGATAATGACTACAATAACTGTGGCAATTCCTGAGGTCAAAGATGTAGTGGTGTTCGGGGGTATCCACGCCATGGAGTTACACTTATTGTATTGGCAGCATAGTCGACATATCATGTCTCTCCTGGACTGCCGACAGCTGAACTTGTCGCTAGCCTTTTGGCAGGTCACGTCACCAGCTCTGACACAGCCGCGTGTGTATACACTCATCATGCCGTCGATGATAATTTCAAACTGAAGGCATAAATGCATTAAATATGAGCAAGCCGTTTTAATGGTTAAATTCTCTTAAGTATTCTTTCCATATTTGTATGTTTTTTGCCTCTCTTCTTTACCCATAATTGTTTAGCATTACATACATAGCTACAGGATAAGCTTGGAATACAGATGGTAGATGATAAATTAAACACAAATGTAATGTAGCCTTCGTCCTGTCTACTAGACCGGTATAATATTATATTATACTCAATAGACTGAAGAATGATTAATATGGAACAGCAAATGTACACGCATAGATGAAGCAATATAGATATTTAAATAGATATATAAGAAGTGCATTGACTAGATTTATGAACATATGAGTAAGTCAATGGAGCGTACATAGCAGAATTCTCCGGCTGCACACTGCCTTAAAGGATCGTATTGTTGGCGCTCCTGTCCACATCCTGTGCCACTGCAGCTGTAACAGGTCAAACGAACCTAGAATAGCCGGAACAAATAACAGGGAGTTAGAGATTTATTACATAATATCATATAAAAAAAAATATAGTTCAAATTTTGTAGAAGATTATATGCATGAGTATACATATGTTTATTATTAAACAAGATTCACCAAGGATGAAACAAGAGTTGTAAACGATTTTAATATCTCTCGACATTTTACAATGTTGCTGGTAAAGAAATAAAGGAAACTTTAGAATTAAATCAAATATGGCAAGTCAAATTTCCTTAAGGACGATAGACATCCTCGAAGAGGTAATATTGCTAGCTTTCACCAAGAATATGATTTGATTTCACATAAAGACAATTAGTTAACGGCGTGACAAATAACTGTCAGAGGAGGGTGACACTTTCTAACAAACACCTGCAAAACCCGATAGCACACACTGGGACAAACTAGATGCTAAAAGTCCATACAGCATGAAAACAACATCCACTAGTTACTCAAAAACAGAGGCACGTGACATCAAGAACACAAAGAAAAAACGAAATCATGTGTTCTAAAAAGGTAACCGTTTTGTAATGTAGACACTTAAACATGAGCGACTTAAAATTTAGAGAGTTTCTTCTAGACACCCTGGCTATCGAACATGTAGACTAATATGAAGCACTTTGTAATGGTTATTCTGTTAACTACTTAGACAGGTGTTAATTGTGAAAAATCCTTATAAATATGATTTAGTATAAATGTAGCATTTTAACTTGAAACAATAATGAAAAGAAAAAATGTCCAGCTCTGCATTTCTTATAGTGACGTTTGAAGTGAATATACTTTTTTTGAAGTAATACATTTTGTTTTGTTTTTTTGTTTATTTTGTTTTTGAGGTGGAGGGAGGGTGTCAATTCAGAGTTACTTTTAAAATTGATTCCTATTGTTTGGTTATCAGTAGTAAGTAAAGAGTTATGTGCTCGGATATTATGTTGGAAGCATTTATGAATACAGTCTCAGCAGTTCAATAAGCAAACAAACCGGCAACACCTGCAGCTGTAAGACAAGTGACTCGTAGTTCTGGTATTGTGTTTATAACGTATTTGTCAGTATCCGTCAGCAGGTTTCTGTAAATCTAAGGTATAGCAGTATGTGTTTGGTTTTAATGTGTGAACAATACTTTCGCAGCATATTATCTAAACGCAATAGTTGTATTTGATTCATAATATTTGATTAAGTATGGATATTAAAGTAGTTAACTTACCATTGGCTCTGGATGCATGCGAGAATATGAAAGAGGAGGAAACATTCTATTATAAATATATTGCTGTTATTTCATCAAAATAATAGAACTGTAAAACAAACAAATGTATTTTGCCTCATACAATTACAGTAACTATATAGGTAGCTTTTTAAAGTCAGTAAGATGACCTCCCGTATAAGACAATAACCTACATAACATCATACACGGGTCTTTATGTGCCAAGGTATCAACCATAACGACATCACAGTAGTTTAAGGACCTTTCAGAAAAAGACAGCTGTTATTTCATTTTTAACTATTTTCCACATTAAGTATCTCGATATTGCAACCAACATTTAATTTACTTATATTCGACATGTGTAGAAACACGGCGAACACCTTGGATTTAACCATGTACATTTCATTGGAAAGTGAAAATATCTCCATTTGTCTTGGGCAGAATTAAGTAAATCATTCCTGATTTTTCGATATAACGTTCAATGTCAGTATCTTCTGACTAAATTGTTTTTAGGACGTTGATTTGAGTAGAAATAGTGGTTCAGCATTGAAATAATCCAATGTTCTTTACCAAATGAACGTAAATAACATAAAGCTGATGTAAATTAACAGCATTGCTCATATATTAGTTTGTTTGATTACAGCGATGTTATTTTTATGGCTTTTCATATATCTCTTTATCAAACGTATTAATTTAGGTATACATATACGGAATAGAAAATATGCACATATATAACTTACCCAATGACGTTCCATTACTGACAGACGACATCGCTGATTTAAAACTGCTTGACGTCGGAATCGGATTCATCGCCGAAGTCATGTAATGTGCATTAACAAGTTTAAGTGCGGTGGAGATTTCCACACCCGATAAGCTCGTCGTTTCCAAATATGGAGTCATCACAATTCCAGTATGAGTGCTTGTGTAATAGTGGCTAATGGACTGACTAGGGTCTCCAGTGGACGGATACAGAGACATATTGTGTTCGGTGCATGTAATTTGATTTGATAAGAACATTATTAACCAAACATCTGAAATAAAAAGATATGTAAATATAATAAACCAGGTTCATATAGACATGTTTGTAATGTATATACTTACTAGACCTTCCTTGAGTGACATTTGGTGTCATTATCAACGCTGATGGAAGTAAAACAACTGATTTCACTTTTTTTGAAATATATAATTTAGTATATCTTAAATAGCTGTCATGAATTTAATATAGCAAATATATGTAATATCGAACTTAATAAATCAATTTGTGAACATACATGAATAAAGATTAACTACAGCATGACATATTTGCACGATGTGGACAACAGAAAAAACCCAACAGTTGAATAATATTTATGTCAAACGTACGTTTCTTAAGGTTCACCATCCTCTTGTTCCCTGTGAGTTGATTCTAATAAAAGCTTGTTGTTTTACACACCGGTAAAAGACTATCAATATTTCTGAAAAGTGTATTGATCTAACTGTTATCCGTAACTGCTGTCATGGCAACCTACATACATCACAATTTAAACATCATGTAGGCATCCATTGTACTTTGATATTGCTCCTAATGACATGCTCTATAAGTAGATCATGATATATACGGGAGCTCTGGGACTAGAATTGGATTAAAAATGTATCTTTACAGAACCATCTGAAAGCTGAATTAAACATAAAATATATTTAAATCTTTTTAATCTGATAATGTTAATCAATATTCACTCAAAATAACATCCACATTCATAGCTAACGATATGCACGTTTAAACGTGGCATAGTGTGTTTTAGTAGCTTTAAAAAAATGCTTATCAGAGCAAGACTCTGCTGCTGCTTTATCACACATATCTTGATATTAATGACATTTAAGCAGTTAGATATTTTGTTCATCTTCTAATGAAACCTACACAATCACAGTTACAGAAATCAAATACTATTATCTTGCAACCATCATCCTATCAGGTATACAATTTAACTATCCTGACGCCCAGTGGTAGTTGATTTCGTGTCGGTTCTAGTGAAAAGAATTTAATATTTATAATGAAAATGTGGATAGGGCAAGTATCGCTAAATTAATAATGTAATACCCTTTTGTACACAGATTATGAGTATACATCAACCTTATTCCCATTTATTCGTGGTGTGTTATGCAACACGAGATCATTTTCAAGATTGATATTGGAATCCATCAATATGGATGAGCAGTGCCACATGCATCTGAATTCCTCTCTCAGTCAGGCTAAATGGGTAGATTTGTTATACATACATGTATTCATTGAAAACAATGTGATATAATACAACCATAACTGCTCATGATGATAATTAAATAAACTTGCATGTTAAAAGACCTGTCGGTATAGCAAAGCTTGGCTATTTGATATTTTTGAAAAGAGGATAAGTACAAAAAAGGTGAAATCATTCAAATCACTGTATAATAAGATGTTTTACTGAAAACCGTTCTGATGCATTCTTGTAACACAATTTGTCTAAAATGTACACAATACCCTTTTTCACACAGCCAAGTATAGAAGGTGCTCCTATCATGTTTTTTTTTTAACTCTGTAAAGGGATTACCTCCCATTGTTTATATTTCAAGTCTTCATTTAAAAGAAGGGGCAAAAATGTGACACAATACCTTCTATGAATTCTTTTGCTGTAGTTGATATAACCATGAAGTTATACTACGGATAACCCTTGGTACCAAAATGAAAACAAAGGCGAACACTCTTCATTTGATTGGGAGCCAGACACCATTTTAGTTTGTAACACTCCAATTTTTATTTTTCTGCAAAAACATTTGATCCTCCGGACCGTCAGTGCAACATTTCATAAGCCTAGTAGATAAACTCAATGTGTATTGAATATTAAACTTTAAAATTAACTTTTATTCTCCTATTATACCAATATTCAGGGATAACATAAAACTAGCACACAAATCGGACGTCAAGCAACAGTAGGTCACCGAAACCATTGACATATATTGCTAGACTAGTGACATTCCATCAAAAATAAAAGCAACAGGGATTTTTCTAATGTACAATAGGTGGCTGTCACAAATACCGTGAACACTCCTATACACTTTTTTTCTTTTGAATTGACGATTACACGTAGGCTACATGTTGAGCATTTAAAAGAATATCTCATATGATATCGAGTAAATAGTATATATCATCTAATAAGGAGTATACAGTGTATCTCATCTAATAACGAGTAAACAGTGTATCTCATCTTATAACGTGTAAACAGTGGTTCTCATCTTATAAAGAGTAAACAGTATATCTCATCTACATGTAATAACGAGTAAACAGTGTATATCATCTAATAACGAGGAAACAAGGTATCTCATGCTATAACGAGTAAACAGTGTATCTCGTCTAGTAAAGAGTAAACAGTGTATCTCGTCTACATGTAATAACGAGTAAACAGTGTATATCATCTAATAACGAGAAAACAAGGTATCTCATGCTATAACGAGTAAACAGTGTATCTCGTCTAGTAAAGAGTAAACAGTGTATCTCGTCTAGTAAAGAGTAAACAGTGTATCTCGTCTAATAACGAGTATACAGTGAATCTCATCTACATGTAATAACGAGTAAACAGTGTATCTCAACTTATAAAGAGTAAACAGTGTATCTCATCTAATAACGAGTAAACAGTGTATCTTATCTAATAACGAGTAAACAGTGGTTCTCATCTTATAAAGAGTAAACAGTATATCTCATCTACATGTAATAACGAGTAAACAGTGTATATCATCTAATAACGAGAAAACAAGGTATCTCATGCTATAACGAGTAAACAGTGTATCTCGTCTAGTAAAGAGGAAACAGTGTATCTCGTCTAGTAAAGAGTAAACAGTGTATCTCGTCTAATAACGAGTAAACAGTGAATCTCATCTACATGTAATAACGAGTAAACAGAGTATATCATCTAATAACGAGGAAACAAGGTATCTCATGATATAACGAGTAAACAGTGTATCTCGTCTAGTAAAGAGTAAACAGCGTATCTCATCTACATGTAATAACGAGTAAACAGTGTATCTCAACTTATAAAGAGTAAACAGTGTATCTCATCTAGTGAAGAGTAAACAGTGTATCTCATCTAATAACGAGTAAACAGTGTATCTCATCTAATAATGAGTAAACAGTGTATCTCATCTAATAACGAGTAAACAGTGTATCTCATCTACATGTAATAACGAGTAAACAGTGTATCACATCTAATAACGAGTAAACAAGGTATCTCATCTAATAACGAGTATACAGTGTATCTCATCTAATAACGAGTAAACAGTATATCTCATCTTATAAAGAGCAAAATGTAAATCTTATCTAATAAAGAAACAGTATATCACATCTTATAAAGAGTAAGCAGTCTTATTTGACACCGAGTTAACAGTATATCTCATCTTAATGTAAATCTCATCTAATAAAGAAACAGTATATCTCACCTTTTACCAAGAGTCAGCATGGCATTTTGTCTTATGATGAGTTAACATTATTTTTCATCTAATAACGAGTTACCGATATAACTCATCTAATACATAATACACATTTATCTCATTTCATAAGGATTAAACAGAAGCAGGATTGTGATTGTATCTATTGTAAAATCAATGCGAAACTATGTATCTCACCAAACACTAAACGACGTTATCATTCTTAGTCAATACGGATTACGACAAAGTAATATGGACTGTTGATATTTAGGTTATCAGCTAATATTATACCTGAAGTATTGTTATGATTTTCACGATGGATTTTGAAGTGAACGTATAATGTATACTACGTTCCGAAGCTCCTCCACCATGACAATGAAACGATTCAAACCGTTTAAAGATTTAAAGCTGTCGTCTAATTGCAAAGTTTAAAATATCTTAAACCGTAACTCGGGCTATCTTTACTGTGGTTATGTTTTTGAGTGTTTTTTCCAAGATTCAAATACGGGAATCAAACATGTAAAGATAAAATGACTGTAAAAATATAACCTTTGAATAATCTTTAACGCTGTGTTAGCGTACCAGATTACCTAACTTATGTTTACGAAAGCTGACGAGGTTTTAGCCTGCGGCAATACTCTAGACTGTTCTATTGTCGTAGTTGAGGGTGGATAGGTTAGTGTTAACCTGTGAAAATTGGCGAAAATATTCTATTAGATAGGGAAATATGAAAATAGCTGAGTCATCACTTATACCTACGCATACTCCTTAAATACAACTCGTTCTAAAACTTTAATTTGGATATTTTTCGGTAGTCATATCTTTGCACTTATTCCGATTTTGCAAAAAACTGAACCTTCGTTAGAATACCCTTATTTACAGGGGGGGGGGGGGGGGGGGGGCTGCATCGGAATCGGGAACAAAACTTACATTTGTTTTACAAGTATCGAAAAAGCTTTGATATATCATTCCACTTACAGTAACAGTAGTATTCGTTTTAACTTTACGTTGTGGTATTAGCTGATACTTTAGTCAAGCTACCAACACGTGACCTAGAGCATATAAACATTTTACGGTGGTACAATTTGACGTCAACTCGTCCACAAACTAACATCCGATTAAAATTCAGTACAGTGTTTTATTTCCCTGTTTTGCTGATATCTACTTGATTAATACATATATTATTTGTTATCTTATCAGTCAACAGAAATTGGCATTGTAAACAAACAAATATAATAAATTGCTTTTGATCCATTCGACAAAACATGTCACCAAAGATTAAGTGGATATAAACGGAAATAGCAAATATTTCCGTATAGTGATGTGTTATGCTGTAAATTTCTTGCTAATGACATTTACTTATTCCTAGGAATTATTTCGGTACGTCAGTCATTTTCATTGCATCAATGTTCTAAATACATGTAGATGCGTCCTTTTGACAACTTAAATGCTTTGCCACGATTTTGTTAAAGTGATCGATTTGTGGTCGGAGATCAAGGGTTAGGATCTGGTCGTGTCCGTTGCGTTTGTACTCTCAAAGCACCGTTGTTTATATTATTTTAAGGTTTCTCCTTCAAATTTCTTCAAATTATGTTTTTAT